ATGTCGTTTCGCCAGCGTGCTGTCATCAAATTTCTTGTGAAAGAGGAAATCCCTGCTGCAGAAATTCACCAGGGACTTCAGTGTGCTTATGGAAGTGTGTGCATGCGTGCAAGTAGTGTTCGAAGATGGGTGAAACATTTTAAAGATGGGAAAACTTAGAATAGGGCACAGTGCAGTACAGGAGATGATTGAAAGCTTGCACTAGAGTAAAGTTTGTGCTTGTTGGGTCCCACGGTTATTGACCGAAGACCACAAAGGTCAGTGAAAAGCCATCACTTCTGAACTGCTGCAGAGATATCGACACGAAGGCGATGATTTTTTGCTCTGTATTGTGACAGGTTATGAAAGCTGGTTTCACCATTTTGAGCCTTAAATGAAACGGCAGAGTATGGACTGGAACCATTTGCATTCTCCATCAAAAAAGAAGGCAAAGGCAGTGCCATCAGCTGCGAAGGAGATGGGCACAGTCTTCTGGGATGCAGAGGTGTTTATTCTGGTCGAATTCCTGGAACCTGGGCAAATCATCAATGCTGCTTGTTATGTTCAGACGCTGCACAAGCTCCGTTGTGCATTGCGCAATAAACGTCCAGGACGAAATATCATCATCTTGCATGACAACGCTCGCACCCACGCCACTCGCCTCACATTGGAAGAAATTGCAAAGATGGGGTGGGAAGTTCTTCCACACCCCTCCTATAGCCCTGATCTGGCACCCTCCGACTACCATCTTTTCGGATTTGTGAAGGATCAGCTGCATGGACAACGTTTTGAGACAAAGGAGGCAATTCAGAAAGCAGTGCGTCAGTGTCTTCGGATGGCTGGAACGGAATTTTACAGAAGGGGAATTTTCAAACTCCCAAAATGTTGGGAGAAATGTGTACAAAGAAATAAGACAGATACACAAGATAACTCAATGAAGAAAGATAAACCATCTTTTCAGTACCTACGTATTAACTGGTGACCCACAGAATTTTAGATTTTCATATCAATGGCCAACATGCACGTTAACTTTCTTTTTTAAGCCTTTACGGTGCACAGCCACAAAAATAAATCACTCAGTCAATGAATGATTATTCTTGCTCTTATAGTCAGTCATCTGTAGAATTCTGCACCTTTGAAGAAACTAATCACCTCTCCCTTTCAATTGTCAGGATATCCCACAAATTTATCATAGTCAAAGGAATTCACAATGCAAAATAACCCTTACAGACTGTCAGACTGCCATCTGTGAACTCACTAAGAGACAAATACAGATCAATTACGTATCCACTAACATGGCACTAAAATTCCAAGTTACTTGAATCAACTGTTAAACTGACGTATTGTAAAATGACTGCATAAAATCAGTGTGCTTGGTGTTTTAGTGCATTTCAGTCATTCAGGTTTTCCTATCCAAATTTTATACATTTCTCTGCTCTCCCATGCAAGCAACATGCACCACACATCTCATCATCTTTGATTTGATCATTTGAATAATATGTGGAGCGGAGTACAAATTACGAAGTTTCTCATTATGCAACTTTCTTTGTCCTTCTATCACTTCATCTCTCTTAGACCAAAATATTCTCATTGGTGCCCTGTTCTCAAACACCTTTATTTTATGTTACTCCCTTAATGTGAAAGACAGTTTCATGTCCATAAAAAATTAATCAAACAACAAATCAAAATAAAACAAAACCAACTTACTTCTTAATAAATCTGTCAACGTACATAGAATCTCTGCAGCTAATTCTCTGGCATGCTCATGAAACTTTCCACAGTGCACTCGAATATCATCATCCAGCACAAGAGCTCTCATGACACCACACACATGCCTCACTGTTACTGGCGTAGTATCCTTGTCCAACAACATTTTCAACCTTGTAGGAATTTTCATGTTGAATATCTCTTGACGATTTTGTTCATGCTTAATGCAGCACACTTTCACCCATTCCAAAACTTTATTTTGTATGTCTACATTCCTCTCATGATCCAAGTACTTAATCATAATTTCAATCCCCCGCTTGTCCAAGAGATCTGGGTTTCCTGACATCAACGCTGAGATTGCACTAAGTGCTTTAGTTGAGACCTCATCAACTGACTGAAACAATTCCAGTACATCAACTAACACACTATATGTTCCGAATGACCCTGCAAGAACCCGGTGTGCAATGCTTTTGTCACATTCATCTTTTAATTCCTGTAACTCTTTAATAATAGCCTTTTCATTTCCAGAGGGGTTCTGTATCAGTTTACCCATGTTATCCAATGATGCAGTCAATTTGTTTCTTGAAGCAGTAGGACTATTATCCAATATGACTTCTTTCATGATGTTACTCAAGTCAACACCCTGAAATGGTAAAGCACAATTTACATCATATGACATCTAAGAAAGGTGAATAACATATGTGGTCTAGCTGAACATACACTTCTGAACTTTGTGACTCTAAAGTTACTCGCATTAATCAATTGTTCTAATGTACCGCAGAAAGTTCAAAATACAAAAATGTTGATAATAATTTCAGTTATCGAGGTTCTGATTCTCTGTCTTCATGTGTTATATTTTATCTTCCTGTAACAATGTGTTACCATGTTAGACTGGTCCCTTGTCACCATGGCATGACAAGTCCTCAGGTTGTGGATGGAGGAGATGACCTCCAGATATGGAGGGTAGCTGCAAATATACTGTCACGTGTTGGGTAGATCACGCAACAAATAACTTCACGCCGTATTTGATATAGCGAATTTTATTTCATATTCGCTCTTACAATCACACAATTTACAATCTGACAATTACTGCCAACGGCAGTATTACAAATACTAGACTGCAAATGCTAGACTACAACTGAAAGGTTGACTGCCTGGCTAACTCATAACTCGTAACTTGTAACTGCTGCCTTGAGAACTTGTTTCGTAGGCTGCTACACTGCCTTCGGCGGCTGTGTAGTTCCCTTATATAGTCACAGTGTTTGCCTGTTACGTAATTGGTACCGCTGTTGCCTGACACCGTGTTGACAGTGGCGTTGCGTGCCATGTCATAGTGCGGAGGGGGGAGGTGGAGCGCTGACTCACCCGCCACATCACTGCTGGGTGATTGCCATTGCCCAACATGTCACAATATTGAATAAGTAGTCGTGGACAGTCAACAAGGGATGGTCCTTCAGTTTGAGGGGTTCGGCATGGGGATAACTCCTTGTCATAAAAGATACGCTTGATATGAAATGTCACAAAGGACCTCAGACATGGATGGATTCTTTGGATAAATTACCTAAGCTAAAGAAAATGGATATGATACTTGGTATGTGCAATGTAAGACATCTGCATAGGGCAGGTTCTCTCATTACAGCTGTGAGAGAAATATCAAAATTTTAAGTTAGATTTAGTGGGAGTACAAAGGGTCAGATGGGACAGAGGTGGCACTGAACCTGAAAACAAATATGCATTTTTCAATGGAAAGGTGAATAGGAATCAAGAATTAGGTACAGATTTTTTTTTGGTACATAAAGAGAATCATATCAGCAGTTAAGAGAGCAGAGTGTGTTAGTGACTGAATGACATACATAATACTAAGAGGTTGCTGCGTGATATTGTTCTGAATTTTTATGACCCAGCAGAAGTTAAAACTGATGAAATGAAGGGCAGCTTTTATGAGGAACTAGAACGTGTATTTGATACATTCCTTAAACACCACATGAAAACTTTGTTAGGAGATTTCAATGCAAAAGTAGGTAAGGAAGACGATTTCAAACAAACAATTAGATATGGGAGTTCATGAAATTAATTATAAAAATGTAGTTACAGTAAAAAACTTTGCTGTATCCAAAAATCTGACTGCCAAAAGTACAATGACCCCACATAATAACATTCATAAATTGACACCTCCAGATGGAAAGAATAACAAAAAAATTGACTGTATTTTGGCAGACAGGAGACAGCATTCAAGCGCACTTGATGTCCAATCATTCAGGGCAGCAGACTGTGACCATGACAACTACCTGGTGGTGGCAAAAGTTAGAGAGAAACTGACTGTGAGTAAACAAACAATGCATAGATTTCACATGGAGAGTTTCAATCTTAAGAAATTAAATTAGGTAGAGGGTAAAGAGCAGTACTGTGTTGAAATCTCAAACAAGTTGGCAGCTTTGGAAAACTTAAGAGGCTGGGGTGGATATTAATAGGGCTTGCTAAACTATCAGACAGAACATCAAAATTTCAGCCAAGGAAAGTCTAAGTCATTATGAACTGAAGAAGCATAAGCCACGGTTCAACGAAAGATGCTCAAAATTATTATGCTAAAGGATACAATCCAAACTGCAGTGGTTACAGGATCCAAGCAAAATAATTAGGAACAACATAAGGTGTGAAGCCAGTAGGCATTTCAGGAATAAAAAGAGGGAATATCTGAAAATAAAATTAATGAGCTTGCAACAAACAGTAAGAACAAGAGCATTAGAGACATGTATAGGGGAATAAGTGAATTTAAGAGCTGTTACCAACCTAGAAGTAACTTAGTGAAGGATGAGAATGATCTGCTTGCACATTTCCACAACATTTTGAATAGGTGGAAAAACTACTACTCTCAGTGATGGAATGAAAGTAGGGCCTGTGATGTTAGGCAGACAGAAATACATACAGCTGAGCCATTAGTACTTGATCCTAGTTAGTGGTCAAATTCTTACATAACTCTTTCATGCAGGAGGTGAAACATGTTCTGAGATCCATAAGCTAGTTAATTCTATCTGGAATAAGGAAGAATTGCCTGTCAATGGAAGAAGTCTATTACTGTATGAATTTACAAGATGATCAATAAAACTTGGAGTATTAATTGTGGGATATCACTCTTATCACATTCACAGAAAAATTTATCCACTATACTTCTCTCGAGGTTTAATCCATATATAGATGAAATTACTGGGGATCATCAGTGTGGTTTTTAGTGTAAAACATCAACTACTGGACAGATTTTTTGCATTCATCAGATACTGGAGTAAAGTGGGAGTACAATAAGACAGTGCAACAGTTACTTATAGATGACAAGAAGGCCTGTGATTCAATTTGGAGAGAAGTATCATACAATATTGTAGGCTGTGCCATAGCTCAAGCGGTTAGTCGCTGGCTTCCCACAGCGACGGCCTGGGCCTGGGTTCAATCCAGGGTCTGATCAAGTGGGATTCGTGGTGGACAAAGTGATGCTGGGGCAGGTTTCCTCTGAGTACTTTGGTTTCCCATGCCAATCTTCGTTCCACCAAATTCTCCATCATCATAATCACCCGGGGCAGGTATAATAGACCAATCAGTGTCCACTGTGCCAAGTGGACCCAGCTGGATTCCAGCCCCCACTAAGTGAATTTAATTTTAATTTAACATGCAATATTCCAAGAGAGTTTGCAGTAACCATGAAAGCAGTTAGGCTGACTTATATATATGTTTAAATGAGACATAAAGTAAAGACTCTATAGGTAAACATCTGTCTGATACTCTTCCTGTCCTAAATGGTCTGAAAAAGGAGACACTTTATGACCACTGCTTTTCAACTTTGCTTCAGAACATGGCATTAAAGTGCAGGAAAACCAGGCAGGACTGAAATTAAGTGGGACACATCAGCTGCTGGTTTCTGCTCATGATGTGAATCTATTGGGAGATAATTCATTCATTCATCAGTAATCTGTCAAGACGACAGGTCCACAGTCTCTTCCAAAACAGTTCCTCCACTTGATGCGATCTAGAGCTTTCTCCTTCAAATGAAATATCTCGCATACATGGTATCTCTGGTTTTGGAAAGAGACTATCCAGGAAAAGTGATAATGTGGTAGTTTTTCCATTTGCTTTCCACATCGCAGTACAATAGGCGTTCAAACCACTCTGGTCACGCCTGTTGCTATACGAACTTGAACCATCTCGAGCATTATTTACTCTGTGCTTCAAGTCGCTGCTGATGACGCTGCTTCCGGCATCAGTTTTTGGTGTCTCTCTTCGTCTGATGCCTACCCTTTGACCTGTCCAGCAAGGGAGGCCATGCCAGTAGCTACGCTACCGCTGGTATAGCTCTCAGGGTCCTTGGCATACTCAAACCCCCTCACCACGATAAGGTGGAGCCACCAACGAGGGGGTGGGAGATAATATAGATACTATAAAGAAGAACATAGAAACTTCAGCTGATCCTAGTAATAATGTTGGTCTGGAATTAAATGCAGAGAAAACAGTATATGTTGATGTCCTGTCTACTGAATGCAGGGCAATATCACAATATAAATATAGCAAGTAAATCCTCTGAAAAAGTGGCACAGTTCAGATATTGGGAATGAACATAAAAAGACAAAATTTGATTCAGGGGGAAATTGGGAGGAGACTGAATTTGGGTAATACTTCCTACCATTTAGTCCAGACCTTTTGTTTTCTCATCTGCTGTCTTAAAAAAAAAAAATATATATATATATATTAAACTAAAATTTTGATTGTCGTTTTCAATGGGTGTGGAACTTGACCTCTGACATTGAGGAACATAGACCGTGTGTTTGAGAACATGGTATTGAGGAGAATATTTGGACCGAAGAGGGAGGAAGTGACAAGAGGTTGGAGAAAAAAAAACTTCATAACTTGTACTTTTCACCATGTATAATTAGAATGACAAAGTCAAGGATGGAGAAATTGGTAGGGCATCTAGAACGAATGAGGAGAAGAATGCATATAGCATTTTGGTGGGAAAGCCAGAAAGAAATAGACCACTAGGAAGACCAAGTTGTAGGTGGGTGAACAATATTAAGATGAATCTTAGAGAGAGAGAATGGAGTGGTATGCACTGCACTGATCTGGCTCAGGATAGGAACCAGTGGAGGGCTCCTGTGAACATGGTAATGAACCTTTGGGTTCGTAAAACGTTGCGAATTTCCTGAGTATGCGCACAACTGTTGGCTGCTCAAGAAGGTAATTAATTTCTTAGTAAAAATGTGTTACATAAAGACATTATAATGTCTTCTTCGTAGATGGAACTTCACATAAATCATGCTGGGCATGTCAAGACTGTCTGCCCTCTAAAAGTAATGAAAACAGCAGTGGCACTATTCACAGACACTGCTCTGAGAACCTCAAATTGCACATATTGTAATGATACTTCATGCTGGGAGCCTGTACTAAAAGTTGTATGGAAAATTTTATTTTGGTACCAGTCAGTCAATTTAACACAAAACTCAAACATTTTTACCATTTTTCAAATTCAATTTCATGCAGCAGCCAAGCTGGTCAACAAAAGCCCTGACTTTTAAAAACCCCTCGTTACCTCTGTCAGAAGAACATGTCCTGTAAGCATCCTCATGCTCTTTAAAACTAACAATACACAACATGAAATACTTTACTGCATGCAGAGTATAGTCTTCACTTAAAACAATTATAGTAACATGATATATTAAACAAAATATTAAAGGAAACATGAAGTAATTTCTGTCAAGCAACATTTTAGGAATAAATACATACTGTCACATGTTAGTGACTAGATATGAGTTCTGGTTTGGTCACTGGATTTATTGAACATTTATATCTGATAACTACAAGTAATTATAGCACTATCACTATTCTACACAAGTCAGAGGAAAGAGACCACTATGAAGACCCTGATGTAGGTAGCAGGATAATATTACAATGAATCGTAGGGAAACAGAACTGGGTGGATTGGACTGGATTCATCTGGCTCAGGATATGTGCCAGTGGCAGGCTCTTGTGAACAAGGGTAATGAACCTTCAGGTTCTATAAAATGATGGAAATTTTTAAGTAGCTGAGTGACTAGTTAGTTAGTTAGTTCCCCACCAAATCTCTTCATGCATTCAATGTTCCCTATCAACTTATATGATATACTATTATATTTTAGCATCCTGTTTTACTTTTCATTTAGCATTCACAGGAGAATATTTGGACCAAAGAGAGACGATGGGCCGAGAGGTTGGAGGAAACTGCATAATGAGGAGCTTCATAATTTGTACTCTTCTCCAAGTATAATTAGAATGATCAAGTCAAGGAGGATGAGATGGGCGGTGGGGGGGAAGAGGAATGCATATAGGATATTAGTGAGGGAGCCAGAAGGAAAAAGACCACTGGGAAGACCAAGACACGAGTGGGTGAACAATATTAAAACGGATCTAGGTGAGATGGGTTTGTATGGATTGATTGCTCTGGCTCAGGATAGGAACCAGTGGAGGGCCCTTGTGAACATGGTAATGAATCTTCGGATTCCATAAAATGCTGGGAATTTCTTGAGCAGTTGCACAATTGGCAGCTTCTCATGAAGGGCTCAGCACCGTGAGTGAGTTGAGTCTTATTCACAGTCTGACACAATACACAAGCTCATCTATGGGACAGAAGACAGCAACTTACTCATCAAAAAGATTTTAACACTTGATGATGGCCCTATTGGCCGAAACATGTACAAATTTTGTGGGACGTGGAGTTGCACGTAAGACTGTGAATAATAGACATTATATTATATACATTTACCTTTCAGTCAGTCTACTTTCCGCCCTAATATCTATATTTATTAATGTACTTCATATACAATAAACTAACGGTACCGCTTTTCCAATGAAGTGTAAATTTCTTAACGCGGGTACAATAGAATTATCAACACTTGGCAATACACAGTCACGCGACCTACATCATCATATTTGGTCATACCTGAGCCTCGAACTGTTCCACAGCTTCTTGAACTGCTTCTTCTGGATTCATGTCAAATTCTTCCATATTTTCTTTCACAGCTTCGTCAAATGTATCTTGAGTTATAACTCGTACCATTGTGAAATATTCTGGAGCAAAATAATAATATACAAATAAATCTTCTACCGTAATTATGCGTCGTTAAGAAACAACTTTCCTTGACAAACCTTTAACAACAGCAGCAACATTAACCACATGTTACACTTTAATGTCCTTATATGGCTCATTATCTCTGGTCCGGCCCGATCTGCTGGGAGGTGCAGTGTCGCCAACTCTGAAGTGGCACATCCCAAAAATTCCCAAACACCATTTTATTAATCTTATCACTTTCATACAAGCCCGCGCCATAGTTCAAGCGGTTAGTCGCTGGCTTCCCACGGCGGCGTCCCGGGTTCGGTCAAGTTGGATTTGTGGTGGACAAAGTGGCACTGGGGCGGGTTTTCTCCGAGTACTTCGGTTTCCCCTGCCAATCTTAATTCCACCAAAGTCTCCATCATCATAATCACCAGGGGCACGTACAATAAGCCAATCAGCGGCCGCCGTGCCGAGTGGAGCCAGCTGGACTCCACCCCCCACTAAATGAATATAATTTAATACAAAATTTTATCCAATATCCTTCACTCAAGGTTAAATCCATATATAGACAATGCCGTGAAACAAGACCTTGAGGGGCGTATTCTTGCGACGTCACTTTATTACTCTTCCACGTAACTATAAGACAAAATGTTGAACAAATAATTCCACAATCGGTCCTTTCGTGTTAACAGCTCTCACTAGAATGTCGAACTGTCCATCTCTCCGTGCTGACTAACCACTGGCTTCTGTCAACACCAAAGTTAAAGTCACATTGCGACTGACGGTCGGTCGGTCAGTCAGTCAGTAAGTCTTGGTGTCGAGCCCCAATAATTATTACCGTTTGACAGTTACGGTCTTGTTTCTGTGAGGCGCCTTCTCTGACGAGAAGACGGATCTGTCTTTTGTATATCACTCAATGTATCTTCTTATATAACGTAGAGTCGGACCTATAGAAAATATGTCGTTGTCCGTATTGTTGCAAGCTTTGCCTAACACCGGCTGTTTACTCAGCCGTTCCTGGGAAGCGAATTGTTTCTAACTTGCAATTGGCTAGCACATCACATATTGTTGCAGACCTTACATAGCAACGACTGTTTACTCGCCGTTGCTAAGCAATGGTACCTAAGCTGTCACTGTAGCGTTTCCAGGGTAAGGTCGTTACTGCCCGGCAGGGCGCGCCACAGCTCAAGCGGTTAGTTGCTGGCTTCCCACTGCGGCGACCCGGGTTTGGTCAAGTGGGATTTGTGGTGGACAAAGTGGCGCTGGGGTGGGTTTTCTCCCAGTACTTCGGTTTCCCTTGCCAGTCTTCATGTCACCAAATTCTCCATCATCATAATCACCCGGGGCAGGCTACGAAAGGCCAAAGTGGCCGCTGTGT